ATAATTAAAAGGCACTTACTGAATACTTTATCAATAAAAATAAAACAATAAATATTATTGTAAATCACATAAATATCTTAAAATATTTGTTTAAATTATAATCACATCAACGAACAAAACTGAGAACGATACTGTTATTCTCTTTTCATTGAAGTTTGATTTTTATAGTGTCTATTATCAATGTGTTATGATAGAAAATCTGAGTTGCTATATCATATTATGACGTAAATTGGTTCAAAAAGGATTCAATTTCATACAATATTGAAGAAAATTCATAATTTGAATGACTCTTTACATTTTATTAGTAATATGGTGTATTTTTATATTATATTCAAGGTATTGATCATGTATTTTTTATCGAAAATTGGCTCATAACTATTTTCAATTTTAAGTATTTTTGTGTTGGTAACATCTTACAACCGACACATGGGGAATTACTTAAAAGCAATTCGACCGCTTTTTTATATACCTAAATACTGTTAGATAAATTGATTAGAATTATCTCTTATTTGAATTATCTTTTTAATATTTACTTAAAGATAATCATGATTTTTAGATTGTTTAAGAAGTGAGATTAGATACTGATAGAAAAATATTAAAGTAGGTATACGACACGTTTATTATTTTCATGTTCATGGAATAAAAACAACAAAGTGACTTTTTTATACATTGTCTAAAATTTAATGAGTTTGTTGAATAAACTTTATCTAATTAATTTGGGACTTGATTTAAAGACAAGCATTGTTATTATTTTATTAGTTTACACAAGTTAATATTATGATTTACTGTAATAATTCAAACAAAGTTTTTTTCGAATGCATTTTCATGAAGGTAAATAGAATTATTTACATTGAAGAAAGAAACAATTTAGTAATCTGAGAAGTAATGAAAATCTTGGTTGATAAATTGCACTATTGATATAGATACGATGCCCTTACTATTGAATTATTTTTATGTTAAACCCAAGAGAGGGAAAAATATAGAAAATATATAATTATATGTTTTATGTTTAATTAATTTAGTTAGGTATATATGTATGTAGATACCATACATTAATTTTTCAAGTAGTTACGTTTAAGAGATAATCTTTTTGATTATTTTATATTGTTTTCGATACGAATCGTGTCATAATTTTTCATTATTATGTTTGCCATACCACAAACACAATTCACTTTTAACGCCTTACGTACAGTTAATTTGTCAAAGTGACAAGAAAACGAATTTGCTTTCATATTTTTCTTTTTTATCATGTTAAAGGTGGCAAACGAACAGATGGCCTACTTGGTGGGCAGTAGCCACCGTCGCACATGGACATCCGCAACATCTCTGTTGTGGATGCGTTGCCACTTGCCAACCTTGTTATGTAGGAAGGACAGGAAAAGGTGGGGATAAGGAAAGGGCAACGCAGCTATTAAAGACCATTTCGCGCCGATTTTCTATGGAAGAGTGGTACTTCCCCGGAAAGCCAACAAATGTTTGATCTGTAGTAGTTACATGACTACAGCGATTCTATACTACCTAAACAGAATTTATTGTTTTCATAATGAAAATTTTTGACAACGCCTGAAAGTTTTTCCTTTATCTATTGCCCAACATAATAAGGCCAAGCCCATTATTACGCCACCAATGACCATGTGATACTTTTGTTCTCTAATACAATAGTTCTACTTTGTTTGTATTTTCATAATATGATACGAAAATTAATATTGCGTTATTTTTCAACATGCATCTATCATCTGAATCATGATGTTTATGATGTATTGCATACTCTATTAAAAAGACTGACATCAAAAATATATAGATGAACGTCTACACTACTTATTAGGTTTATAAACGCAATATTTATAACGTATGTAATAAAAAAATCTTTTATTCTTATTTCTCAGTCTACCACTTAAATAAACACTACAATTATAAAATCACAAGGTATTTTGTTGTTTCGTGCTTATTGAGGACATATTATTTAATATTTTAATATATTTATTGATGATTGTCATTTGAAATGGCTAGTGCTAATTTTATTAGATAGCTTAATGTCCTAACGTTCTTTTTGTCTTTTCAATTATTATTTTTTATTCAAATATGGGGTCAATAAATAAATATACTATAATTGTATGTCAATTGAGGATTTTTTTTATTTAAGTGAGAAATTTGTTCATCTTTCTCGACGTTACAAATTATTTTGAGCGGATAAGTTGTAAACGTCATTCCTATACCTACCTAATTAATATCATGTGGTTGTGAGTAGACTGTAGACTGTGAAGTATAATAGTCATATATTTTTTTAAACTTAATAGATTACGAAATGTTTTTGGAAAGATAAACTTTGATGACAATTTTATCTTACTAATATAAGGTCTTGTGAAAAAGATTTTTAGTAAGCGAAGAGACCGCCTGGGTTTATATAATCTTTTTTATACAAATTTAATATAAACTAGTAAACCTGGCGAACTCCGTTTCGCCACCAGAAGGCTTTTATATAATATTTCGTTTGGTGATTAAAAGATGAAGATATTTTTTGTTTTATATTTGAAAAGGAAAATTATTATTTCATTTCACAACAGTAATGAATTCATTTCGATTACAAAAATGAAGTGTTATTTAGTTAAACTTCTCTAAGTAAATGAAAGTGAATCCAAAGTAGATACCGAATCGAAGCGTTATACGTGTCCGCAAATTATCCGTTTCATTGAAGTGGTCCTTTGTAAACCACATTTTTTGTTTTTTGATCTAACTTTAACACAAATAAAGCGGATGGTTTCCAAACTCGTGAACATGCAAAATATAACGCCCATGTGAAAAACAATGATTTTCTAAATTTATCCCGCAAATACTAAATGGTTTTAAGAGTTCAAACTACAAACACAATACCTAAATATTTTTATTTTCATATAGTAGATTTATTACAAATATCTAATTGTCATCCCTACGTCATTACATATCTGTCATTATACGTCAATTGCATAGCTGTCAATTGTGTTTCGTTATTCCACGTTTTATAATGACTGACGTTTCATGTCAAGTCCCACGGGAATGCTGTCGAACGGGATAAAAAGAATCCTATTGCAATTTCCTGGTTCTAAACTACCTCCCTGCCAATTTTCAACTAAATCGGTTCAGCCGTTCTTGGGTTATAAGTGCAGTCACTAACACGACTTTCTTTTATATATATAGATGTGGTATGCAATAAAGTATATTGTTATTATAATTTTGTATATGTTTTATTTTATTTGGTTATAAAGATTTTTTTGAACAAAGGTCGAATATAGCAGAATAGCATCATATAGTATTACCGTCAAATCAAAGGTGACCTTATGAAATGCTCTCTCTACATAAATGTTTGCTTTTGTTATTGTGGGCCATGTTTTTATATTGTACTCAAATATCCTCTGGTTTAATTGAATGAAATGATTTCATAATTACAATAACACTCATTTAACATTTGTTTTTGGGAACATGAGAAGTAAAAACACTTGAATTTTTTCAATTTGGAAATTATCAAAGATTTATACAGATGAATCCAGACCAATATAAAAAAAGATTTATATTAAAAGAATTGATTTAAAAGTGATAAGTAATAAAAAAAAATCTTAAATGTTTCCAACAAATTATTTTTTTCGATAAATTCTTAATCTTTGCTTCTTTACATAGGTTTATACCTATGTTTAAATTAAGTAGGTTTTAATTATTCGTTATGAATCATTATTAAATCTGCACATATATTTAGGGATATTTATAATCTCTTCTTGTTTATTTTCATATCACAGCAAGTTAATTCAGAAGCAGACAAAATTTGAAATTCCAATTATCCTACAAATGTTCAGGATACCTAATAAATTTTATAAAACCTTGTATTTAACTCTTTTAAATTTTCTATTTAATTGCAACATGTTTGTATTTTTGTATTGAAAGCGCTATTTTTTGTAGGTATTTGTTTTATGAAGGACCACTTATAATAACTGATTTATATATATATATATATATATATATATATATATATATATATATATATATCTTCTATACAGGGTGACTGGTGAATTACTATCAATATTTAAGGAGAATACTCGGTACATGATTCTCATTCGAATTATGTAAAAAAAATAGGTACTTAATTTTTGACCAAATTTCCGTATAAATAAATAAAGTGCGGACACGTTCCAAGTGTTCCAAGTGTGGACGCGTACGGCGGCGTGCTGATACAACACCACGCCGCCGCACGAGCGTGTGTGTGTGTGTGTATACCTAATCTGTAGGGTGTTCACACGATGCGTAATTAATTACATAACTTTTGGTTAACTTTACTTAGAAGTTTATTAATATTTATGTTATATTAATTTTTATTTTGTCATATATGATCGTCAAATATCACGTCCTCAAGTATCGATAGTAATTCACCAGTCACCCTGTATATATAAAAATGGATTTCTGTTCCTTAGTCTCGCCAAAACTCGAGAACAGCTGAACGGATTTATCTTATCTTAGTCTTGAAATGTTCGTGGAGGTTCAGGTAAAGTATAAAAGCTGAAAAAAATTGATTCATTACGGGGAAAACCATAAAAACAGCCCTTTTCTATTTCCCATACAAACGGTTTTTTTTGACATTAGATTTGACAACTAACTAATATGTCAATCATTCTGTCGCACTTCAAAACACGGAGATTTATGGCTTACAGGTAAACTCCAAAAATATAAATAAAATAACGTAATAGATATATCTTGATTATAGGGCGATACGAAGTTTGCCGGGTCATCTAGTATATTTATAAATAACGTTTTCATTACAATTGAAAAGATATACCTACTTATCATGTGTTATTCAAAATACACCGTGAGACTGAGCCAGACTGTATAGTGTATAACCCTTGTGTTACAATGACAATACCATAGAAAATGTTTAAAGCAAATAATTGAAATAATTTGGCCTTGGCGCAAACGTAAAATTGATTTTACATTTTATTGTTCGTAGATAATTATAACATAAAATTTACATTTCGTTAACAATGTATGTTTTAGTTAAACGCGGTACGCCTGTATGTTTGTATGTCCACATTAAATGTGGTTGCGTTCCGTGTAACTTATCTCTCTGATTGACTGGCTGGGATTGTTTTCGTTATCTTAATTAAACGTGTTTGATCTTTTTGATAGTGCGGCCGAAGTTATACCGATTGTGATACTGTACAGATACATGGTAAAACCATTTGTTTTTAAAACTTAAACATACATAAACCGGAATGTGTTGAAGTGAAAAATGTTATAAAACAGAAATATAATTTTATGACAGTACATAATGCGTGTTTTAAGTGTATTTTTAAAGAGAACTCTTTATGCCAATGTGTTTCCTATTTTAATTATAACGTGTTTATTTCTAATGATATTTTACGGCTCTCAAGAAACTAAGACAAATAGTTTTAAAAGCGATTCATTATATATTGATTCTGTTGATGAAATAATCGATCCTAAATTTCATAATGATCTGGTGACATTATACTACCACCGACGAAAGGTATGTTTTTTTATTAAATATTTTATTGAAATGGACATTGACATCTATATATTATTAGAGGAATTATTTGATTTTTTTCTCTACTATTCGGAATCTAAATGTACCTAAATATTATTATCACTTTAGAATATCAGCACATAAGTTTTTTATAACAATATATCTATTTTTTTGTTGTAGAACTGGTTGACATCAAATTTAGGATCATATTTATATAAAAATTATCCAATCGATGTCATATCTCCTGCAGATTCTCGACGGAATACGACATTTTTAGTTCTAATATGGAAACACTGGGAATGGCTTAAAAACCGTCATATTTACAGTTTTGATAAAAATCGGTTAGTATTAAGGATTTTACGAAAGCATCTTTTATGAACATACTCGTATACAGATTTAAACGGTATAATAAAAAATACGGGATCTTACCTTAGCGTTTCCTTATAAGTAGTAGCTAAACGTTCACTTCATGGTACTTCTATTAAGTAATTGACAACTATATTATTAATAATATATAATTATTATAATAATTTGAACAAATAGCATGTATAATAATAAAAAAGGGTATGTGTTTCTATCTCCTTTTTAATGAAATATGTGTTTAGAATTACACAGTATATGTTATTGCAACGTGTTTGTAGGCTAATTCACAACCACTGTTGTTGCGCAGTGTTATCTCAATTTAATAAATTAGTCCAAGAGAAATTAACCCCTTAGTGCAAGTATTACGAATATATGTAATATATAAATTATGCCATCTAAACTTTCTGTCCGCTTTAAGTGGACTTAGCCATAATATGCATACATTTTGCTAGTAGAAAAAATATTATATTACAAACGAAATCCTGTAGCTCCACGTCGCGTAGTAATTTTAATATTTTAGAGACAGAGAACTTTTGAAAATTTTATCATTTGGCTATTTTTATTCATAATGTTTTTAATTTACTTTTAATGTTTGATGTAGATAAGTTTCATATCACTTTGACAAGTTCCGATATTCGTTTAATAAAAAATAATCATCACGATAGAGATTCTTCTTTGTTTGTTGAAATTTTAATAAACATTGTTACGTGTTTTAGGCCACTTGATCCGCTAGAGGATTGCAGCGTAAAAAACTGTATATTTACAGGCGACGATGAGAAGTTGTCTTCAGCCGACGCTGTCATAGTCCACGTACTAAAGGGTCTGTTTCCAAAGACCACAACAAGAAATTTAACCCAAAGGTGGATCTTCTTGAACGATGAGTCTCCATTCAATGCATTTTTTTCTGCTGCTAATAAACCTATATTAAAAGACCTATCACATATGTTCAATTGGTCAATGACTTACAGGTATTACTTACAGCTTATAGCAATAATATTTAAAATTTCTATGTCTTCAATTACTAAAGAGTTAATTCAGACTTAATACAATTTATTTACATATATAATTTTTAAGATGCCAGTGAAATCTAGATAATAATTTACGTTTTCGATACACTTTTATTTATGCCTAACGAAATAACAATAGTAAATTGATTTGTTCTACGTATAAAGGAAAAAATAAATGCCAATGCCAAATGTTCCACAAATTGCTTCGTAGTACGTCGATCAAAAAAAAAAGAAAAATAAATACGCAATTTTCTCTATCACTAACCTCACTTATACTTTGATTTATCGGCAAATATTTTCTAGGAGCGATTCCGACGTGCCTGTTCCTTACGGCCGAACGGTACCCTTGAAAAAAGCGATTCTGAATCAAATTACATATGAATCTCTGGCATCATTGGTTCCGTACTGGGAAAATAAACGCAAGGACGTGTTAGCTTCTATCCTTATGTCGCACTGTGGGGTGCCTCGTAGAACAGAATATTTAGAGAAATTACAAGAATATTTGACCGTCGATGTTTATGGAAAATGTTCGAAAAATAACAAAAATAGGTATTTTTATATTAACATAAATATATGAATTCATTATTTTTTTTATTTATGTTCTTTTTCTGTTTCAGCTGTCCTGGACATTTTCGGTCTGACTGTAATATTGTATCGCAATATCTTTTCTACTTAGTGTTTGAAAACACGCAGTGTCACGAGTACATAACAGAAAAATTATTTTACAATGCTTATAGCAAAGGTGCTATACCTGTCATAATGGGGCCAACCATAGACTGCTGTGAAGGACTTTTACCGCCTGATTCCTTTTTACATGTTGACAATTATGATAGTCCGCAACAATTAGCGGAGCATATGGTTGAAATAAGCGAAGATAATAAAAATATTCTAAGATATCACCGATGGAGGAATCACTTTGAGGCAAAAAATGAGCATGGATATTTTGGAACTAGATCGTATCATTTATGCAGAGTATGTGAAGCTTTGAATTACAATGACCAAGCAGTGAAATATTACGACGAAGAAGATCTAAGGATATTTTTTGATCCAACCTTGTCTTGTCGTTAATTCTTAATGTCAATTATTTTTACTATGTACTAGTGTTCATTAAAATATCTTTACATTTTAATACACATTACTTTTAGTTGAAGGACGTCTGGTGAAAACTATTTTCTATACATAGATAATGTGTTTCACATGATTACAATTAATTAAAACAAGTTTTGCGATACGTTTTGTACATGTTGTCTTTACCGGTAAAAAAAGTATGAAATGTCGGATGCACCTTATGACGTCATTTAAACATATAAAACTGTTATTATTGTTAATAAGGCAATATTTAAAAAATAATAAATTGAACTGCCTCTTCAATAATATCTTTAATTTGATTGCGTTCATATAATGATAATAATAGGTATATATGTAATAATAAGACAAAACTGGACTGGTCTAAGTATGCAATTGTTCAGTAATAATAAAAAACTTATTGAGTATAGAACATTATACCATTAAATCTTTAATAGGATAGAGAGAGAGGGAATGTGTAAGAGAGACAGACAGAGTGGGGTAATGGAGATTTCTCTATTAATATTTTTTATCAAAAACTTTTAAACAGCTTGCATTCAGAGGCTTGTACAGTCAATACTTTAATATTTTGTCAAATACTGTGATTTTAAAACATGGTAAGTATTTCGAGGCAATTACGTTACAAAAAAAAACATTTACGTCTCATAACGCATATTATGTAACGAGCAACTTTTTCTTAGTTTTTATAGACTACTATTGTTATAGATTTGCTGAAACTACAATTATAAAAAGAAGGCTTAGAAATTATGTATTTTACGGCTAAAGATGAGAATCTTAGGAAACAAATGTTTCGCCTACATATGTTTGTTGATTGTTATTTCTTAACCGATATAATGGGTGATGGAAGTTCGTTTAAGCTTTTTGCTCCAATATAACTAACTGAATTATAATAATGAATTTGTTTTCTCTAAATCGGTAAAATTGTTATATGAAAGTAAGGCAGTTGAAAGGCATGATTACAATATATTTTGTCTTGTAGCTCTTTTGTTATGTAATAACAAATACTTTATAGTTCAAGCGGAGAAAGTTTAAAAAATATCATACAAGTAAATTGTAAAAATAAAAAAAAAACACATTACTGCTAGTATTTTAATTCGTGTGAAAGTATTTTGGGGCCATTGTTGTTATCATCTTCGACTTTCAACAAAATATTTCCTATCAATATCACTGAGAGGGCTTTATAAGGCCATTCGTACAAAGTTCTGTAAAGTTAGAAGTTCTTGTTGGAGCGATTTGCTAAATTACTGAAGTTCGGGTTGCGGCAATACCTGTCTCCCTTGTTATGAAGAATAACAAAGTTTCTGATACGCTTATTGACATTGCTAGAATTTTTTAGCGGAATGTAATTTTTATTTTGGCTCTTCAAATTAATTTGTTAACTTTGTTAATTGTGAATTTGATTTTATTACACTGTAATATCATTTCTTCTCTATGTATATTATGTGTGTTTTCCAGATTTCCATAATTTATTCGAGTTTATAACACAACATAAACAAGTCTGTAATGATAAAAGTTAAATATTTAGATTTCATGAGTAACACTTTTTAAAATCTTAATTTAATTCTGAGTATATATTTTATAGTTTAATCTTGTTGTACGAATTGACGAGCCAAGCCTTTAAAATTTATATACTGACAGCAAAATATATCGCATACTTCAAATGCTGATGTAAAGTTCAATGAATTACAAAAAACCTTATTCATGAAAACGTTTACTTGAAAAGAAAATTTAGTTCCATATTTATAACATTTAGCTGAACTTCAATACAAAATGTTTAATGAAACAAGTAAAAATGTTTTGTTATGATATAAAAAAGTATTTAAAGTATATAAATGCAAGCACACATACTATATACGTATAGTTTACGAGGAGTTTCATTTAAAAATACCTACATATTTTGATAAATATCTTATCACAACAATGTAGCACTAAAGAACTACTTCTTAATACAGTTGTTAGCAGCTTAAACTTGTATACGGGTATTAGTGTACTCTACGAGCTTAAGCTTTTATGAAAGCCTGCATCTCGTGAGAGTCTACCGCTTACAACTATTACTGGTTCTGTCAATTGGTTATCTTTAGAAATTATTTTGTTAAAGTTACTTCCAAGAATAATACCACATTACAAGTATTAAAAAAAAAAAACATTTTGTTTTCTAGTTATTAGTTTAAATTTAAGAATTCATTTTTTTTTGGTTATGGGTATAAAATGGACAGATAAGATAAGGTAGGTTTGATGCTTGCAATTTTAAATAGCATATAAGCTACATTTATAAGATTCAGCCCAAATATCGTTAACTCACATAGCAGCTGTAGTTCTCTTAAGAACGGCCAAGTATTTCTTATTACATAACAAATTTTTATTTGTTACTATGAAACAATATTAATGAATCATTATCAAAATGCAAGTCATAAACTTTAGAACATTAAATGAAACTTAGTTTCTTAAAACTACTTCAAATAAAAAAGTGAGTAATATTAAAAAACGATTTCTTTCCAAAAAATCGATGCTCTTAATCCTTTTTTGCTCGCAAAAGATTATATTTCGGTCAAGTATTGCGCTTGTGGCTGGGAATATCAATAATAAGAAAACATCTGGTGCCTTTGTCTGCCAGTTACCTCTTTAATTACAGATATCCCGACATTAATTATATTTCTGCTCTAGAAGACAGCCGAGTAAATCATTTGCCCGGTTAGGGTAAAATATTTATGTTAGCAATAACCCTGGCTCAGCTATATTTAATAGATGTGCCTTAATTTTTTTATGGTTGTAACTAATATCTAAATAAATATTTTGGACGTGAAATGACACTTAGGTCTGAAGAATTGAAGAAAACATTTTAGTCTTGACCTATTAGTAAGCCTTGGAAAGTTTGACTAGCTTAAACTAGATAAATAGATATCTCTCAACATAAAATTAACGACATCTCTAAAACTGTTAATATAAATTTGTATTTGGCTACAAAATATTAAATATGATCCAAATAGATTTTCATACAAACATTTTTACTCGATTTTAACCTGTATTACAATTCTAATTCATCTCTAATATGTTTGAGTACTTACATTTAGATATCTAATTCAATTATTTAGATCAAGTAAATTTGGCTATAAAATAACGGCCCTAAGTACGAACAACGCTATTGGCGTTACACAACGGGAATTAATCTGAATGTCCGAAATAGCAACCTCTAGTTTCAGTTCGAACGCTCCTTAGAGTACGCTTGTCCACTTAATTCAGGCCGCCTGCGCCAGTTTCGAATTATACAAACGCCAATTAGCAGTGAGTGAGACATTTAATTTGACTCGCTAAATATTTCTATTTTGTATGTCAATTTATTTACATATATAGACAGTTGGAACCAAATTTCCTTTATAGATTTATCACAATTGTTGAATAAATTGATAATAGTTTGTTTTCTATGGAATATTAACAATGGATTTAGACTGTCCAGTTTTTGTTACATATGGTTAAGGTTATGTAAGGTAACGTATTATAATAATGTAATTAAATACGGCTTTACATTTGAAAGACGACAAATTAAAATATTAAGTTACTTACATATGTCATTTGATGTAATTTTTAAATTGAATATAAGCGTTTATTACTCCCGAAACCGGTCAACTTTTAGAGACAAAACAATAACTTTGGGGTTTGTTATGAGAATAATGGAATAAGTATACACGGTTACACGATTATTAAAGAATATTTTGTAATATCTCATTGTATTGAATTTAAATACTTCGTGTTTTTTATCATTAATTCATGCTCTTCGTTGTTCCGGGAGAAGGCTGCCATGAGTGCGGCGCTGCGGTGGACTCGGCCCAGCACACCCTCGAGGTGTGCCCGAGATGGGCTGCGCAGCGCCAAGACCTTGTGGCGGCTCTCGGCGGAGTGGACCTGTCGCTTTCGAGTGTCGTGGAGAAGATGCTCGAGAGTGATGGGTCCTGGTTGGCGGTGTCCTCCTTCTGTGAGACGGTCATGTCCACGAAGGAGGCATCTCAGCGGGAAAGGGAGAGGGCGGCTGATGCTCCCTCCCCCCGCAGGCGACGTACGGGGGTGCGACGGAGGCAATTCCTACGCCACCAATAGCACCCCTGTGTTCCGGGCTGGGGTCGGAGTGGTAACCCGGCCCTTTTGAAAGCCCGGCGTCGTCGGGGTGGTCCTAATTGCCGGGATCGCCCCCATGCTCCGAGGGAGTAAGTCCGGTCTTTGCCAGGACCGGCCAGTCGCTGGTGTGCCCTGTCGCTGACAGATCCGGGGTACACCGACATAGCGGCCGATGGCTTTCGCAGTGGTTTTAGTGAGTAGGGGCCTGCCCAGGCCGAGCCTCACACATCCCTTCCGGCCCCACCAAGGCCGGTTGGACGGCTCGTAAAAAGAGTTTCCACTACGTCATCAAAAAAAAAAAAAAAAAAAAATGCTCTTCGTTGTTGGTAGGCTTAGATTTTATTAATATTTTTAAATTAATCCTTCATTAAGTATGTTACATTTATGTACATTCTTTTTATTTGAAGATATTTGATACACCAGTGAATTGAAAATAAGTACATTCTGTTTTTATGATCAACGTTGAATTTTGATGTACGACCTATATCGGTAACGGTAACATCGGGGGTAAAGCTCTAGTAATAGGAAGAATTTATTATTTCATCGAAGCTAGTAATAGCAATATTTATTGATGAACATATTACTGGCTGGCTGGAATAGAATATATAAGAATCATCTAGTATGAATATCTAGATATTATAAGAAAAGACGTGATAGTTTTGAAGATAAAATTATTTAAATGTTGATATGTAATAATGATTATCTCTCCCTCTTTCGCTACATATATGTGTTAAATATTATTTCTCTTCTTACATTTCATGCGGAGTACCTTTGAATTTGTATAAAAATTGTATTCTAGGCAATGGAGAAAATAGTTCGAATTAAATGACAAATGCAAATTAAATTCCTTTTACGAAATATATTTAACCAGG